ATTTATAATAATTCTAAACATCTTCAAAATAAGCATAATCTCGAAAAAAGTTCCAATTGGCATCATCCTTTTCAAAATGGCGTCTCGATGCTAACGCAGCTCCCTCTCTCTTTATCCCAGACACGCTCGACAGGGGTCTGTTAAAGGCGGGCAACTGGGTGCCAATCTTCCTCACGGTGGTCGTGTGCGGGACGTTCGCCTGCGGCGCGATCGCCGTCTTCATCATCTACCGTTTCATGGTCGAGGACGTCCTCGACGGGAATCCAGTGTTGACGATCGTCCTGATACTCGCCAACGTGTTCACTCTCCAGACCGTGCTTCCGTTCTGCATCAACGATGACTATTTAGGGGGCGAGCGGTTGAACTCGAGGAAGATACTCGCGACGACCCTCGCCTTCGGATTGGACTTCTCCCTCATGTTGACGAGGGCCTTCTTCCTCGTGTTCTCCAAGGGAGGCGTGTTCACCGCCCACATAAACGGCCACCTTCAAGGGCTGATGGTGTTCTTCATGTTCTTCGTCCAGGTCGCCATATCCGTCATGTTCTTCGCCCTCAGCAACCACGACTCGGCCGTAATTATGAGAAGCCTCATATTCATCGCTCTTCTGGGTAAATTTTAACCATCAAGATTTCTTCCAAACATTCTTCCATTCTATATATATTCCATATCGCTTCATTTTTGTTTCTTCATCCAATGAGAAGCAAGAAAATAAAAATATTCGATACAACTTCTGCAAGATAAGACAGGATTATATTTATATTTATATTTCCAGGATACGATATATTCCTACTGATCACACTGTTCGTCGTGTGCTTCTTCATCTTCCAACTGCCGCGCAATTATCGGGAGGGCAAGTGTTTCTTCGGCACATCTATCGGCCTATTAATCGCCTGGGCCGTATGGCTCACCTGCTTCATTCTCGTGGAGCCGGAATATCGCGACACGGTGGTGTCCCTCGGCATCATATCCACCGCTTATCTCATCATTATAGGGATACTGATACCGAGGACGTATTACATGGTAACGCATCTTGCAAGGGGGAAGAAGTTCGGGCAGAGATTCGGGTCGACGGATCTCGTGCCCGACTCGAGGATCGACACAATTGGCAGGCAGGTCGGTATCGCTTTTCTCTCTCTCTCTATCTCGTTCCAACTGAATGGAAACAAGGAAAGATATCCTTCACCCTTACTACTTTCTATTATAAATATAAAAATTTTGTTACCTTATTCATTCATGTAATATAAGATAATAATTGTAATATTTCGAAAATATTTCAGTTATAACTTCAGTGAATCTTTAGAATGATTTTTATTATTTTTAATATTTTTAATAATTATTATAATTTTTCTGCTGGTGAACGCAGTATTGGAGGATTAAAAATAATTTCTAATTTCAATTTCTGATAAAAAAGAAAAATACGTTATCGTTTCCTTTATCGTACGAAGGATGAAAAGAAAACTTTGTTCGAGCAGAGTCGCCCGTTTTACGATTACGTGCACTCGGGCGGGGGAAGTACGACCAATTTGCACGTGACACCCACCATGTATCCAAACTATTACGGAAGCTCGAGTCCAGGCCAAAAGTATCTAGGAACAGCGAGCAGAAGAATTCCCGGATACAATAATTACGGATACCATTCGGAGATGCGGGAAGTGAATAACTCTTACTCGATACCGCAAGTCTGCATCGAGGATGCGGACGTGAGATTTTTTTTTTTTAACAATATTTTTTATCTAGCCTATCAAATTAGTTAATAATTTAAAATACTTTATTATTGTAGAGAAATTGTAGTTATTTTAACGAATAATTTTTCAAATCACTCGTATAAATTATACAATGATAGAGGAGGGAATGATTTTTCAAAAAGTCCAATAAGATGGCCAATTCTTTTTTTTAACAATATTTTTTATCTAGCCTATCGAATTAATTAATAATTTAAAATACTTTATTATTGTAGAGAGATTGTAGTTATTTTAACGAATAATTTTTCAAATCACTCGTAAATTATCGATGATAGAGGAGGGGGTGATTTTTCAAAAAGATGGTCCAATAAGATGCCCAATTTTTTTTTTAACAATATTTTTTATCTAGCCTATCGAATTAATTAATAATTTAAAATATTTTATTATTGTAGAGAAATTGTAGTTATTTTAACAAATAATTTTTCAAATCACTCGTAAATTGTACGATGATAGAGGAGGGAGTGATTTTTCAAAAAGATGGTCCAATAAGATGGCCAATTTTTTTTTCTTTCTTACTTTCACAAATTCATTTATTCACAAATTCATTTAAGAGTAAAGGGAATCGCACTTTCCAGTCAAGAATCGACGAAAGCGCGACTTACGCGCGGCCGAAGAGCAACCGGAAGAGGAGGGGCAAAGGGGAGAAGGAGTGCATCGAGACGGACGTTTACGTGGAGAGCAACGTGTCGACGTGCCGCAGATCGAACAACGAATCTCCGTATCCAAGCAGATCGAACAGCCCCAGGTTGGCCCAAGTCGAGGCGACGATCCGCGAGGAGGAGGAGGGGAACGAGGAGACGAGCAGGATCACTCGATTTTGAACGTTTCGAGAAGAGACTCATCGAACGTGATTTATTATTACATCTACTTTCCTCGAGGAGGATTTTAAATTTTTTCAAATTTTTCTCGCGTCTTGTCTTTCGAAACTGATCGATTAGAGATTTTTTTTTCTTTTTTTAATTGCACGCACGTTTGTACTTATTAAGAATTGTAAGAAACAATTGTTGATAGGCAATTCTTCGCCTTTAAATCTGTCATCTAAGTGAATCTAGTCAATGAATAATGTGAAAATTTTTTTCAACTGTCAATAAGATAACGTTATATAAAAGTGACAAACCGTGAGTGAGTATAAAAATGAAAAATATATAAAGAATCGAAGGAACTACGAGGTTTTTAATTATATCATAATTAAACGAAAAGTATTATAATATTTATTGCGTATTTAGCAATACGTTTATAATTAACAAAGATACATAAAGTGTATAAAATGAAAGAAAATATTCTTTTCTCTCTAAATCCGTTCTCCAAAAAAATATATCGTAATACGTGTAAATGAAAATGAAATTTTTATTTATTTATTTTTTTTTTTTAATAAATAATCTCTCACTCTCGTTTTCTCGAATAAAACGATACAAATCGTTACGAAACGTTTCAAAGCGTTTCAAATCGACTCTCGCGATAAAACGGAAATCCTGTCTGTCGGCCATTATCGGGCGTAATTAAAGTACAAAACGAGGTGAGGGCGAGCCAGAGTCCCTTTTGCGCGTGGAAAGGACCAGCGCGTGCGAGGGAAGCAATTTCGCGTGTTCCCCGCCAAAATTGCATTATGGTCGATCGTAATTCCGCAATCGGGGGCACAGGTGCAGGAATATCGATGCTGTAACCGGAAACGCGGGTCGCGGACGATGGAAACGCAACCCATGGAAAATTGAGAAACTGCTCGAAACCGAGAAAATTAATTTTTTCTTTTTACATTCTTTATCATTTTATTCTCATTTTATACTCAGAGAGCGAGAAATTTTTTTAAAATTTAAACGAAATCTCAATGGAGTTTCAAAAATGGAAAATTTTCAAATCTCTAGATTTCAAGGTTTCTAAA